CAGGAATGAAGGAGCAGATGCGGCACCGCCAGGGGAATTGAAAGGTGCTGAAAAGCCACTGACAGCAGCCCAGGTGGTGCCAGATGAAGACTCGGATGCTGAGCTTGACAGGTAGGTATTAGAACAAGCCACGGGGCAAGAAGCTGGTAGGAAATGGAAAATATTCAGCAAGTTCTGATGAGCGGCCTCGGAGAGAAGGAAGCTCTTGGTACCTGCTTATGTTGGCAAATCTGGTGCTTTCTGGCTGGAACGAGGGAGCAGACCTTGCTCAGATGAGTGATGTTCAGCCCCTGAGTGTCAGTCGATAGGGTGAAGCCATCATCATGTACAACCATCCCATTTATTCCATTTGAGTCACTTATTTACAAGTTTCCTGATAGAACACAGTGGAAATATGGATGCATTGATCCATTGTTCCTTTAACAGTGATGATGACCTCGTCCCTTACGACATGTCAGAGGATAAAGAATTAAAGAGCACTAAGGCTCCTGTGTATATTCGTGACTGTATTGAAGGTATGAGAATTTGGGTTGAGTCTTCATCTGTTTCTTCTAATGCTTTTGTGAAAGGGGTTTGTGTAGGCGGATTTTATTTCTTAGTTCCTAATGTGTGACATGCTGGGTTAGCAGCCAGGCTGTGTTATTTACCTGAGCCTGACCATTCTGTTACAGCTTTTGTTTGTCTTTTGGTTACTTTTAGTCCTAACGGGGTCTGATGATGTGGACAAATGGGATGCTACAATCAAGGCTCTTGAGGGCTTGATTCGAAAGAATCCAGCAGCTACAAGAGAGGTGAAGCAGTGTGGGCTGACAGTTACTGGGGGGCTGCAAAAGAGGGTTTTTCCTTCTCCCTGTTGAAGAAACTAAACTAGCCAGCAACAGGCCAGGCTCAACTGCACGCGAATTTAAAGGTTTCAATTTAGAAAGAGAAATAGAAGGGAATATCTTCTTTGGATATGAGGCCACATAGCACAGAGGAGCAAAGGAGCTGGCAAAGGTGACCAAAGATGCCAGCGTGTATGGAAGGTGCCAGGACAGCATTTGGCAGCTCTTGCACTGCAGATGAAATGTGTGTGCAAGGAGATCCTACCAGCAGCTTGAGACAGCGGAGGGTGTGGGAAGCTGCATCCTTTGTGCTGGGCCGAAGAAACATTAGAAATGCAAGCTACAGAGCAGGCACTAATCCCACAAATACAGCAAGCAAAAGGGAGGAAAAATCAGTGGAGCTTCCCCGTTCGCCTGGACAAGGCTGGGAGCCTCTGGCCGCTGAGGGAGGTTGCGGCACGGCCAGCAGTGCCGGTGCTGCACCGAGCTGGACGGGCTCCTGGGGACCCTGTTCCACCTCACCCAGGAGCTGCGGGGACGAGTCCTCCTGCGCTCATGATACTGAGATTAGTCCCGAGAGCCGTAGTGCAAAGTGCTTTGAACAGAGAAATCAATCTGGGGCTTTGCTCAGTGCCGTGAGAGATCGGTGTCGATGGCCTTCAGCTTCGTGGGGTTTCTCTCTCTCCTGAGGACTAGATGTGCTGTTGCCTGTATTCTGTTCCCTTGTTGTTTTGCCTGAAAAAAATAAGAATGGACAGTGGATGCTGCTCTGTAAATCCAATGAGAAGGAAAACACCTGCAGTGATTTGATTCCTCTGCTCATATTTTGAACAGGTTAGTGTGGAGCTGGCAAAAATCCTACTGCACGTGGAAGAGAAGAGCTGCATTGAAGGCTTTGCAGTGCTCCGACAGAAAGCCCAAGTAGCCGTTTTAACCACTGATCCAATACCTGTGAGTCCCCTTAGTGCCTCCTTTTTTCTAAGGGAGGCAAGGGCAGGGATTTGAGCTGGCGAAGGCTCCTGCTGGGTGGGTGGAGGCACCTCCTGGCCTGTGCTAGGATTGACATTGGGGTCTGACTGCATTAATGCAAGTGGGCCATGTACCCAAGGATGACTGAGACAAGGGGAAAGGGAAAACGGGGTCAGATTGGGCGAGCTTGTTGCACCGAAGGGAGGTTGTTTTGCGTACAGGGAAACTGAGGCACACATGATGTCTCTGAGAGAAGGTCTGGGGGCTGTTTGGATACCTCTGCATAGGAGGTGCCAAAGAGCAGCAGTCCTGTTTGTCATTCACATCCTTTGGGAGGACTGAGAAGTAGAAACCTCTGAATTTCCCATGCTCACACACCTCTGCTCCTCTCTCCTCTTGGATGCTTCTGCTTTGCTACCAGGGAGCAGGACTCCTCCTGGAACAGGCTGCTTTGGGAATTAGCGGGAAGGCTGTTCCCGGGCTGGGGTTGTGCTCACTGCTTCTTGCCCTTCTTTCTTCTCGTGTGCAGGTCGCGCAGTTCCTGACCTCTCAGTTCTACTCGCTGAACTACAGCCTTCGACAGCGCATGGACATCCTCGACGTAAGCGCTCTTCTCCCTTCACACATCTGGGAACATTTCCTAGAAGAAGCCACTCTTTCCTGAAGCGTCACCAGTCTGTTACCTCATCACTTGCTGGAAGGCAGCAGTCTGCCTCTTTCCACACCCTCTCACTTGCTGTGCCTAAACAGGAAGCCCCTGCTCTGTTCCAGGGCCAAGTGCCTGAGCATTTGGCCCAATTCCTCAGAGCCAGGTGTTTGTCTGGGGATCAGTTACCTGCCCTGTTGTTCTTGCTTCTTACCCCACTGACCCTTTCTGCCTTGGTATCAGTTTGAGGATAGTTAGTTCTGTTACTGTTCCCCAGTACAGGGATTATCCTTTTCTAATGAAACCTCTCTCTTTTTCCTCTAGGTATTGGTTCTGGCAGCTCAGGAAATGTCTTCTTCCAAAATCCATGGGAAGAACAAGCAATCTAATGCTCAGAAACCTTGTATCCAGCTCCTTCCCGAAAGCGACAGCTCCAAGGACTGGAGAAAGATTGTTGATGAGAGGATCAAAAGCAAGACCCGAAGGTTTGCTAAGGTAAAAGCAGAACAGAAACCTAGCAATATAAAGTCCTGCAAAAGTAGAGACAGTTGAAGTGACTTTAGGAGCTGCTGTAGTTCTAGCCAAAAAGGGCAAACTAGCTGTGAAGTTGGGCCCAAGCCAGCGGGTTTGTTGATGGGTCAAGAGGAAGCAGGATTTTTCCTGAAACGGGGTGCTTCTCACATGAATGGGAAGGCTGTTCCCAGGCTGGGGCTGTGTTTGCCACTCCTTGATTTTATTTTATTTTTTCCTTTCTGACTGTATAACTTAAAACCCCAGTTCCACTTTAATCTTTTCCGGTGGTAAGTATCATTTCCCATAGTCCTCTCCCAGCAGGGAGAGGATAATAAGCCTTGAACTCTCGCACTGCCAGGCGGTGCCTGCTGTTCTGTGCTTGCTCGGAGCGCGTCCGGCCGCTGCAGGGAGCTGTGGCTGCACCTCCCGGCCTCAGAGCTGCTGCTTTCAGACCCGCTTGCCCTGCACTGGACTGTAGCCTCAAGCTTCCTTCTTTGAGAGATGAAGATAAATTGATGCCCATATCCTAGGCTCCAGAACTCCCTTATGGTTCATTTTGGAAGACTTGCTTTTCAGAGCTGCTTTACCCGTTGTTCTTGTCCCAATGTTCTTGTTTCTTGTATCTCACCCAGCACAATTGAGCTCTATTGCACTGAGATATTTCGGAAAAACTGTGCAGTGCTGTATCTAGACTTCAGTTTTCTCCTACACAGGGTCAGTCTCAAGCGGAACCGGATTCTGGCCCAAACAAGTTCAATTCTGTAGCTGGGCACTTCTTCTTCCCCCTGATCCAGAACTTCGACAGGTGAGTGTGAGCACCCTGTGCTGCGGACGGCACAGCGGCCATGGGGACGGATCCCACGAGGGCGCAGAGCAGAGGCCTGGCACGGGCAGAGGGAGGAGGGTTTGGGGGCGTCTCTCAGGCACCCTGTGAAGTGTTGGGGGTACAGAATAGGTAAGACCTTGCAGTAAGCAAATACACATTACTAAGAAGAACTTGTAGGGAGATGCCCTGGAGATGACTGGGGTACTCAACGGTGTCTTGGTTGAGCGCTCACAGTGGGAGGCTCACACTAACCCACAAAACTGGGCTTTGGGCTTTAGCGGAGGTTATCGCTGGCTGAAACCTGGGCCTAAGGTCACCCAAGTAAGTCCTTGTGACCAGAGTGAGGCTGGAAGACATCTTTGCCTCTGTAGGATACAGTCAATTTTGGCTTTGCTCACCTAAGGAAGACTCAAAAATAATTAATTCTGTAAGGACCAAGATTCTTATCATACTAATCATAATGGTTTGTTTCTAGTATGGCCACAAGACTCATTTCTTTACGCTGTAAATAAAGCTTCTTGTAGGTAGAATAAGTGGGAACTGCTCTAAGAGTAGAGGATATTTACAGCAAAGATGGGAGAAAGCAACTGTGGCCCCTGTTAAACAAACTGGGCATCACTCTATTAGATTGTTCTAGGAATGGCAGCTCGTGTGGGACAGTCACAGCCATCCTGGCCGTCGCCCTGAGCAGCCGTGCCCGTGCCCCAGGACCGTGTATCTTGCAGGCCCTTGTCCACGTTTGATCTGCTGGGAGAAGATCATTTTGTGCTCGGCAGATTGGTGCACACCCTGGCCGTGCTCATGTACCTGGCTGCCAACGCTGTGGTAAGCGGCGCCGCGAGCACGCGGGGAGCAGGCGGCTGCTCCCCAGCACAGGGAGCCCCGGGGCTTGCGACACGCAGACGGGGGGAGTCCCTGGGGCCCAGGAGCTGCAGAAAGCGCTGAGGAAAGATGGTCAGAAGAGATCTGGGCGCTCCTGCTTTTTTGGATAGCTTTTCTGTTAACTCTTACTGAACATTTGAGACATCGTTTCAATTTACTGTCTTATTTTCCTCATCTGTAACGTGGTGTTAAACGTAACCCTGCTGTTGACAGCAGGGTCTGCCGAGGGCCGGTCGCGCAGGCCAGCGGGGCTGCGCTCAGTGTTTCTCTCTCAACCCTCGTTCACAGGCAGTCACCACCATGGGAAGGGCGCTGCTGGAGTTTGTCTGGGCTCTGCGCTTCCACACCGACTCGTAAGTTGCGTCTGGTTGCAGTTTTAGAGAGCAGCTTTGAGCCTGGTGTGCAGCCACGGCCCATCTGTGCCTCAGAGCCCCACCGGCCTGGGTGGGTTCATGACTCAGTTAATTCTTTTTTACTACTGTCCTCCTGCCTTCTCTTCTTATGACATTGAGTGTCTCAAGAGCAAGAATTTACAATGAAGTTGCCACTTCATTGCCAGACCAACATAAAAGTATTTAGCTAGTGTCTTCTGTTGTGCAGGGACAGTCATTACCTGTAAAGAGCATGAGAAATTTCTTGATCAGCTGTCCTGGTTATATTTCATAGACCTCAGAAAACCTGATAGATTGAATTCCCACATTTAGCCTTGGAAAGAAATCAAGGCATGTAGCCAAAATGCTGCAAACAGCTAATTTCTGTTCAACCTCAAGGCTGCTTTAGGCCTCTGAATTCTGGTAGATTCCCTAAACCACAGCTTGGCTGGGGCTGTGTATGTGGGCACTATGCCAGCTAGTTGTGTGATTGAACCCTAGCTCAGCAGGGTGACAACAGTGATTGAGATCACGAAGAGTGGGACATGGAGGGCTTTTGGGAAGAGGCATATTAAGGAAATCACAGTAGAGCAAGACGCTGCAGGATTTAGAACTCAGTCCTTCTCCAACAGGTACGTGCGCCAAGGTCTGCTGTCCTGCATCTCGTCCATCCTGCTCAGCGTCCCTGCTGCCCATCTGCTGGAAGACGTGGCAGAGCTGCTCGTGGAGACTCGGTGCTGGCTGGCAGGTAGGGGGTGACACACACCAGCAGTTCCCTGCTTAGTGCTTCAGCTTGCATGCAGAATCCTTTCTAAGACTGGGGTGGGAGCAGCATCGTCCTTGAGCTTGACCGGCTGTAATACACAGGGTTTTGTAGGGCTCTTTTTGTGCTTTGAGGATGTGTTTCATGAGAGCCGAGTAAGAGAAGGAAGACAAACGTATCCCTTTTTCCTCCCTTCCCGGTGGCTGGAAGGGCAGCCTGTGGATGATGCCCTAGCTTGTGTTGGGGGAAGACACGTGCTTTGCATTGTGTTGTTTTTGGGCACTGGCACCCTACCTGAGCCCGCAAGTCGGGGGGCTGAGGATCACAGTGTGCTGGGAGGACAAGAGGAAGGCATGGCGTGTGCCTCATGCCTCCCCTGTGTTCAGAGGGAGCTCCCAGGGCTGGTTTCCTTTGCCAGCCTTGCTCTTGGTGAGTTGCCTTCCCACAGGGAGCAGGCAGGAAGTGACACTGACACAGCCGGCCTCTGATCCCTGCAGGTTTTGGAGCTCTGTGCACTTTAAAAGGAAGGGAGCTGCCCTTTGGGGCCAAAAACTTTGCTTTTCCCATGCCATGATGTGCTCTGAATCTGCTTCTCTCTGCTGTTAGTAAGTAGAGCCTTTCCAGGAATGTTTCAATGTCTTTTCAGCATGAAGGTCCGTGCAGTCCGTTTTTAATGAGTTATTTTTGGCAGGAGGACAGCTGAGGTAGTAGCATCCCTCTATGCCTGTAGGTAGTGCAATAGCCACTTCACGTAGCGCTGTTGTGTGGAAATTGTGCCTCTGATTCCGGTGGGAATGGCAACAGGATAAGACCCCACTTGTCCCTGTATAGCACAGACAGGGGAACTGTTGTAGGAGCCATTCAGAACCTCCTAGGGAATACAATTCAGCTCCACTTCTCATCAAAGACCCCTTAAGTGCGATGTAAAACTTGGCTCTGCTTTCAGAGCTGCACCGTGGCCTCGAGCCGCGTGCTGGGCTCTGCAGGGCTGGTGGCTGCAGGCTCCTTGGTGGAGCAGCTCTCCCTGGGGGTGCTGGCCCTGTGGCCACTCCACATGCACTGGGAAGGCACTCGGAGCTGCCCTTGGGACAGGCCCCCGGCTCCGAGCGCGGGGCGGCTGCTGCCTCGACGCTGCCAGACAAGGGGACGTGGCTCAGACCTGCTGCTGCAGCTAGGAGAAACAACAGGCTCCCCAACACCCAGGTGTAGCACGGGAGAACTCGGCACATCTCCTGCTCAAGGAGGAGGCTAAAATCTGCCTATTTGTCTCTCCTGCCCCTTACTACTAGGCTGGAGCTGCCACGCAGTAGCTTGCTCTTTTGGGGGTGTGCAGGGGAGAAGGCCAAGCATTTACAGGAAGAAAATCCTTCAATTGCTCCACGGCTGCCTTGGAGGGAATTTCCCAGGCCTTGCCCACACTGCAGAGCTATGTCCCAAGCAAGCTTGTTTTCCATAAAGATCTGAAGGAACTTGCAGTGCCCTGTGTGCCTCCCTCTCTGTGGAGCCAATTCAAGGTCCCTGCTGATGCAATTGGAAATGGTGCCCATCTTGGGCTGGGAACTAACTTGTCCTGTAGCCTCCCCTTGTAGAGGGGGTCTGGAAAGGCACCCGGCCGCTCTCCTGCAGTTATAAATAGCCCTGCAGCATCTGCATGAGTCATGTGTTTGGGCTCAGCGCGGCGCTGAGCACACGCTCGTGCGTACAGGATATCCGCGCACAGGCTCCCTGCTCTTCCAGGCTCCCCGTGCTCCGACATCCTGAGCGCATCCTGGTTTTTACTTTGCAGGCCCATTAAGGGCCCCTGAAATAACAGCTGCTGGAGCAGCTTCATGTCCTGGTGCAAGGCAAAAGCCTTCGCTCCCATGCTGCCTGAAGTGGGACAGAACTAGCAGTTTATCAGAAGAGCAGGTCTGCGAGGATTGATGATGTGCTGAAACGCAGCAGTTGCCTCTCCTTTCCTCTGCTTAAAGGGCGCTGTGACCACCGAGCACTTGCTTATTTTGCAGGAATGGGCAGAGTGGAGACGAGCTTCTGAGCGAGGGGGTTTCCACTTGCAAACTGCACCTGTGCTCACAGATGAGTCCCCTAAGGAGGTTACAGCCTCCAGAGTGCAGAAGCCCAAACTCTGGCAGGGTGGCTGCTCAGTCGAGTGCCAGGTTAGGCAGTTGCTGTGAGTGTTGCCACCCACGGGTTACCTGCTGCTGCTGCTGCAAGGACAGCATGAGGCTTTTTGCTGTTGCCTTTAGTACTGTTTAGTGACAGCCAGTGAGAGAGCAGAGAAGCGTTGGACCAAGAGCAGTTTTTGCCATCTTCTAAATAACAGCATCTTCCTCTCTTACAGATGTGGTGGAGAAAGACCCTGATGGGGACTGCAGGGGGCTGGCCTTGCAGAACTTGCTGCTAATGGAGAACCTGAAAAAGAAACTTGAAAGTGCCCCTTCCTAGCTGAAGTGACCTCGGCGCTGCACTCCTGCCAGCTGGACGCCCGCAGGCACCGCGGGGGCCTCTCCAGCAGTCACCTGGCTGCACGAGAGGAAGGAGGGGGAAGGGTGCAGAGCTGGAAGCCAGAGAACCCGACTTGACATCTGGACTTTGTAGTGGAGGCCAATTTAGTGAGCGCTGGCCATCCGGTACGGCGTGTACAGATGCAGGAAGGTAGCAAGCGCTGCCATCCTCTCACACCTCCTCCAGCCCCCAGCCCCAGCTATTTATAACCTGAATGCTCTGCTAAAAATACAGAGAAGACCTCGGAGCAGGCTTCTTGTCAGGAAAACAGGAGGGCTGGCACCAGCCCCTCGGCTCCTGGGGGGCGAGGGCCAGGGAATCCCCTGCCCAAGGCTCCTGTGTCCCCTGGTGCAGCGCAGCCCGGTGCTGAGCGGGCCGGCGCGTTGGCGGCGCCGCTGCCGCGGACGAGACGTTGCGAGGGGCTGCAGCCGCTCCGGGAACACGGCCTGACTCACTCGTGGCAGCGAGCGATCATCTTAGTACCAAAGAAGCTTCTGTTAAAAGGTAAATAAGGGCCGAATTTGGGCCTTAAAATAAGTTCAAAGTGACCCCAAGTTTTGAAGCAAGTCATCGAAGACTTTATGTCTAGGCAGAAGAGATGGCTGGTACAAAATGGGTGCACATGGGTCTTTGTAAATACAGTTTCTTTGATGTGAGAGGATAACAGGCTTAAAGCAACCAAGATTTTGCTCACCTGGATGTTGGGTCCACTTCTGGCTAATCCTGCTCGCGCCAGGGAAGAACCTGCATCCTCAAATACAACTAGTATGGAGCAGCCTGCCTAACTGTGGTGTTTGGAAAAGAAACTTCCCCGTGTGGCGGTTCTAAGATGACCCTTTGACATTCATATATAAAAGCTTCAGGATGGGGAAGTCTAATTCTTTCTCCTGCAGTAGGGAATTAGTTTGACTTTTACCCAAGCTTGTACTCAAGCTGGCAGAGATTGTTTCCTTGGAAGTTGACCTCTGAAAAGACGGATAGGTTAGCACATTATCAAGGCACTCCGTAAAGTTTGTCCAGTCGAGAGTTTCCACTTCGGTTACAGAACTCTTCTCTAGACCCAGGCAAGGCCTGAAATTACAATACAGAGTTTCCATTCTTTTTCTTTTTTTCCCTCAGATTTATTAAAATACTAAAAACAGTTTCAAAACAGTGTATGTACATTTGAGTTTTTGCAATTAGTGTTTGAAATAGTATGTAATGGTGCTGTACAATCATCAAGCAGAAAAAAATAGATTTCTTTGAAAGAAACTAAAAACTTCCTGCAGCAGCGAGTTGATGGATGTGTGACCCCTACTGAGGAGAGGAGATGGGGCCTGGTGTGAAAGTCAGTTTTGCCTCTGGGGAGTCCAGGCTGTCAGGGGTCCTCTAGCTCATCAGCCACTTCTTCCTCCACCTCCTTGGTGTCCACACTGCTGTGCCCAGGTTGCTCTGGCGCCAGCGTTCGGCTCAAGGGCACGCCGGCTCCTCGGTGAACGGCCTCCACGGTCTCCTGAGGCACGAAGTAGCTTGGGTTCCCACCCGGAATTCTCTTCCGCATCTCTTCCAGGTAGCGGTAAGCCTAAGGAAACGCACAGAGATCCCTGGTGCAGAGCGTGTAGCAAAAGGAGGAAAAGCAGCCCCCTGGATGACTCGAGTTCAGTGGCAGAAGGGAGCTGATGCTTAGCCAGGAGTTAGAGCCCTTGCTGAGAACAAAATGACCTTTCTTAATGATCTGTGTCAATTCTAGCTTTTTCTTTAAAAAAAGAAGCGGGTTCTTGCATGCTAGCTTTAGGTTCTCCTGATAGCTGAAGCAGCATCACATACTGCACACGCAATCCTTAAACCACTACACATTACAAGGGAGGTTAATCAGCATGGTTGGAGGATCTAGTGCTTCACATCAGCCAGGTTGATAATAGCAGCAGGTTACGTTTTAGTCAAACCCTTTGTGTGTGGCACTTCCTGCTGTGAAGAAGTGACTCACCGTTTCCTCAAACGACTGCAATTTTATATATATTTTTTTCTCTCCTTTGGCCAGGTGGCAAACGAAGTACAGTGTAATTGCTGAGAAATGCACCCAGGCCTCTGTGTTCTTGTTGCTATTAATAGAAAAAGTTTAAGGAGTCACCACTCTGTTATGCTCCATGTCCTGTGAGCTTTCTTTGCCCTCCAATGACATGAAATTAAAAATACACCAATTCAGTGATGCATCCTTAGGTATTCCTTACCCTGCCAAGCGGTTTAGCTCTCATGGGTTTCTCTACAAAGGGTGCTATGCCAAACCACACCGATGTTTATGAAGTCCAGGCCCTTTGGACTGGAAGCCTTCCCTGGACTGTGCTAGGAATCAACGTACCGTATGGAAATCCTGCACTTGCAGATAGTGTTCTACCAGAAACCCCAGGACATCCCCGCGACGGATGGTGCTGTCGAGATCTTGTTCACCCAGGAGTTGTTCACACTGTCTCACCGCTTCTGTGGGGTCTTCAGAGTGAATTCTAATAAAAGAACAAAATGAAATTATCACAGTGTCGGGGTGTTGGGGAGAGCCTTCAGCTTCTCATGTGAAGCACATGGAAAATTTTTGTACCAGGCATGCTTCACAATCACCTCTCTGGCAGGTTAGTGGAGAGAAGAGAGCTTTCACACTTTCACAAATCAACAGAACTACTCATATCTAAGGTTACCTTTTGGTCTTGAATGTCAGCAACACTTAAAATCACATATGGTTGCCTGACAACAAAAATGTAACAATAGCTTTTAGAAGAACGTCTTCTCCACATTATTTATTAAACTTGGCAGGCAACTTTCCTCCTAGGTGCTACTTTTTTCGTTAGTCTACATGTTTTGAATACTGCAAATCACCTCCGAGCATGGATGAATCGCTTGATCAGGGCCATCTTGCTTTGCAGAAGTGCTATTTTGCTTTCCTGTTCCAGAGGGCTTCTCATTTTTGCTTTTGAAAGGCACTTGTACGCTTCTGTCAGCGCTCCCTGTGCTTTCTCATAGTTCTGATACTCATCGATTTCCACCTACAAGAAGACACATGAGCTGAGGATGCTCTTCTCAGAGCTAACAAACCAAATGCCTTGAGGAATTACAGGGCAGGGAAATGTACCTGAGCACAAGCATCATAGAAACCTGCCAACAGATCGAGGGCCTTTCCTTTGGTATAGAAGCTAATGATGTTCTTCATAATCTCCGGGTCCTTGCGCCAATCCAGTGACTGCAGGTAGTTGGCTGCCATGATATAAATCTCTCTCTGTCTGGATACTCCAGCAAAAAACACAATTTTCTCCGTGTCTCCAGATTTCAGGAGTGCTCTCATAGCCTAGAAGGGAGAAGGTAAAAAAAAAATACCACTGTGAATGCAAAAAACAAAGTCAGGTAGCCAGGAATCCTCCCCCTTCCGGATACTCTATTGTATGAAGACTGTACCAAAATTTACTTATCCAAAAACTTCTAAAGATAAGCTGCTCAGCCTCTTCGGGTGTTAGTTCTACCTACGCAGACTGACCTTTAACTTATTTCCTGCCTGAGTGTACTTCTTGGTTGCCATGTGGTAGTTGCCTTGCCTCATACAGCAGTCGGCAACTTGTTCCAGCAGCTCCCTTCGAGACTCCTCCGAGATGTCCTCGGAGTCCTTGGCGATTGTCATCTTCTCAGCCATCTCCTCCGTGATGGTCAGATTCTGCTTCAGGCAAACTTGCAGGGCCTTGTGGTACTAAAAGAAGGGAGAAAGCAACGAGCTGTTCTAAACCTACAGAAACATTGGCTGAGAGTGGCACAAGTTCTAACAGAATTTAACAGATCCCAGAATGCTGGACTCTTGTGCACAGCATGTTGGTAGGGCTCAGTTGTCAGCACAGCAGAACCAGGTAGAAGATAGGAAGAAAGAGCCTTGACTACATTGATGTTGTGATAGGAGGGTCATCACTGATTTTTGACTGATGTTATTAAAGTTTCTCCATCTCCAAATATGTTAGTTTAGAAGGATTTTTTTTTTTGCCCAACAGTATGAAGTCTCATGGTTTTTGCATAGAAAGAAAACACAAAGTCAGGGATTCATTTCTACAGTTGAGCCAGGTGGATACCACCATGTGAGTCATCATTTTGAGAGGAAACTTTAAAGCTTAAAAATGTCATCACATATCTGCTAATAAACAAAGACAAACGTGTGTACAGACACGTACCGCCCTGCTGTGCTCCTACAGATGGGGGGAGCAAAATGTAAACACCTACCTTTTTGGCTGTTAGCAGCAGCTCTATGGCCTTCTCGTACTGGCCATGCTCGATGAAGAAGTCAGAGCAGCGGGCCAGCAGTGCCGGGTCAGACTTCTCATCCAGGTCTTCAGCAATTAGCTGGAGGGCCCCAAACTGCTGCGTGGCAAAGGCAAGTTCCAGGGCTTTGGAGAAGTGTCCTGCCTGCAAAGTTAAGGGTGGTTCTTCAAAGTGCAGAGGAAGATCTGCAGAACCAGGGGACAGGGTACCGTACGGAATTAAGAGCCCACCAGGTTCATAAGTGATGAATAGTGCATAGTCAAGCCTACAGTTTATTTAATGCTCCTCTGTTGAAATAATTGCTTCAATACAAAGTCAGATATTTTTACTGAGTCATTTACCTTGTGGTACAACATGACAGCTCTGTCCATTTGCTCTGTTTTTTCCTCATAGTAGCAGGCTGCCTCTATCATGTCTTCTGGAGAGCTCAGAAGAGCCAGGTTCATCAGCAGATCATCTAAATTGTTCTCCTATTCAAAAGCAAAGATTTGGCTAGGTAAGCAGCAAACAGGTACACAATTCTATCCAGGCTCTAGCTGGATACTGTCGCACAGCAGCCCATCAGCCATCTCTATGTAAAATCTATTGCAACCCAAATAACTCAGAGCTGGAAAGTTGATAATTTGTTCCAGGAGTTTTTCTGTTGAGACAGATATATGACAAGGAAACATTCTCTGTGTTACAACCATCCCTTTGCTGACATGGTTTCTTAAAAGATGTAGGGACAATCCAGGAGCATCTTCACTAGCTGCACTGTATGAGCAAGCAGTGTCTCCCACTTGGAAAAGAAAATGAGTACAAACTAATGGTATCCATTTTATTCTGTGTGCTACCTAAAGACAGAGCCCTACTTTGTTCTTGGACAGAAATGTACATCTTCCCATACCTTACACAGGCGAATGGCATTGTTAAATGCTTGGGCCCTGGTGTAGAAGTGTACAGCCTGCTTGATTTCATCCTGACTCTCGTACTGGCGGGCCAAGTGATACGATGCAGCCCAATTCCCTGTTACATTCGCAATTTCAGCAGCCTGAAAGAAAAAACATGCCTTTACTTTGTGCCCGTGGGCCTCCTGGGAATGGGCATTTTCTGCAGGTGGAAGGGAGCAAGGCTGCCCTACCTTCTGAATGTTGCCCTGGAAGCAGTGCACACGCACCAGGGAAAAATAATCCTGAGCCAGTTCATAGTACTTGAGTGCAGCTTCCATATCTGACTGGCTCTCTAGGTACTGTGCCCACCATTTCCAGAGGTTCCTAGAAAAGCAACAAAATTAAGTGCAGTAGCAATAATTATCACAGCAATGGATTCCTCATTTCTGGAGATGCTGACTTCAAGAATAGATATATTTTTGGAGTATGGACAAGCTCTACCCAAATTCACAGGTCTGCCCTCAATAGGAGTTCAGAAGAGATAACCTAGTGTGGCAGCTCTCAGGTGAGATCCAGAGCGGATCCTAGAAAGCTGAGCCAGAATCAATGCATGAGGCTGGGGCTGATCGTGCAGCTGAGAGGATTTGCATTACTCCTTCCCTGCTCTCTTTACAAAACATGTTTCAGACCTGAAAGTCCCTTTCAGGAGAAGGAATGAACACAGCACTGACTTGTCTTTCATCTTGTTGACATAGGTCTCCAAGGCTTGCAAGTCTTCAGAGAGCATTCGGGGTACCTCAAATCGGTGTGTGTCCGACTTCTCATAACTGTGTAGAAAAAAAAACATGATATATGTGAAATGACTACATTAAGAGAAGTATCTCTCTTCCTCTGTAAATGCATTTAATTTTGTTTGTCTGCTACAGAGCGGCAACACCGACGACAGGACTTCATTGGTATTATTCAGTTCACCTCAAGACCAGCTGCACCATCAAAAGCACCACCAAATATGAAAGGGAGGATGCTCCTGCAAGACACCTAGAATTGTGGAAGCAACACGATCAATAAATTGTGAATACTTTAACACAAAGCGCCGGTGATGCTCCCAGTGACATCCGTAGACATTAAGCTCAATCCTTTGAATCTGGCTGGAAGGGTAGCAAAAACTCTGGGTTCCTCCTCTCAGTCCTGCTGCCACCCAATGCAGTTTCAGTCTTGTTTCCACTCCTGAGAGACAACCACACTTACGCAGCCACCTACTGCTACAGTCTGTCCTCAGCCCCCCACCACAACCTCATCATCTCACGGATCTAATTGCACCAGAACTCGCCTCTGCTTTTCAATGGAAGTGATCTTATTAGGGAGCAGAACACTTCACCATGCAAAAAGCAAGATTTACAATGAGTGCAACACATGAAAAGTCAACTCCACTAACCTCTCCATGGACCCATCCGTCACAGAGGGGACTGGAGGCCGGGTGCACCAAAAGCCCTCAAGTCAGACTAAGATACCAGTTGTGTCTGGGACTCTCAGGAGTAGGAAATAACGAATGGTTTTGTCACGGAAAAGGAAGGAAAAGGGCAGTGGTCTTACAGAAACAAGTACAGGATTAGATACTATTGGTGTTCCACTAGAGTAAGTGGCCTCTGAGAAGACACTTAACCTTTCTGACTCTTAGTTTTATTAGGAATTTTATTGTAACAATGCTTTCACTCCCTGAGATAGAAAGCACCAGAAACAGGAAAAAACTTTAATTAATCATTAGTGGTCATCACCAGACATCCTCCTTAACAACCTGCCTCTAGTCTCCCCAGGCTCCAAATGCCCTGCACATGCCATGGCACCTGAGGCTGGCACTTACTGGGTGAGTGCGAGGCCGTGGTCGCCGGTGGCCTCCAGGTGCTTGGCGTAGTTGTAGTAGGTGGTGCGGAGGTGGACCCGGTCGTGCTGCTCTGCTGTCTCCAGTGCTTTCTGCCACTGGTTTGAGGCTTGGTAGAACTTGTTCAGGAGGTCATAGCGCTTGCAAGACATGTAGAGTCGCTCTGCGTCCTCCTGGAGGGAAGGGCACAGAGAGGCCATCAGCTCCAGCGCGGGTCTCACGGGTGCCCATCCAAGCAGTAACTCACAATGGACACTGCGCTGCTGGGTGTTTACTAGGTACAGAACAGGCATTGCAGCTAAAGCAGCAATAACTCAGACGGGGGGAAAGAAGGGGAGGTGTTAACCAACTACATACACATAGCCTGGAATAGCACATTACTGGGAAACAGGATGCTGATGTGAAAACAAGGAAAGCACTCGGATCCTGGCATTTGCCGTGCACTATCAACTGAACTGCACCTCTTAGCAGCTGGGCATGGAGTGGGTGTCAAAGCGCTGCAGAAAGGCAGGACAGGCTCACGCGAGGGCCACGCGGCCACCCCGGTCGGGCTGCGCATCCGCAGGAGGTCCTGCAAGGAGGTACACTAAGGGCCAGGGGAAGCCCGGGAACTCAGGGAAGGTCTTTAGAAGCAGGAATTCTGTTCTTGGACAACTGACGTCTGTTGCTGGGGATAAACGCTATTACTCTCAGCCAGAATTGGAACAGGATGGCTTTGCCCATGCTGGGCGAGCTAATTTGGAATGAATATTTTTACATGCTGAGAGGTTCTCGTATGGAAGAAGCTTTTTCCTGCTCCACCCAACTGCTGTCTAGCTGAACACTATATTTAGCGGACACAGATTATCTGTTCAAGACAGATAAATAGTTTCTGTGTCTTATTGTTTCAAATTCAAAAAACATAGAAATTAGGGATGGAAGTCATCTGCACTACGATTCTATTACTGTAGGAAAGGAAAGAAGCAACCAAACATTAGTGGTACGAGATTTCCCCTCCGTCTCTCCAGGTAGATGTTAATATCCAAGAGAAGGAATGCTACCACTTTTCAGCCTCATAATTTTCTCTATCAGGAAGCTTTTACAAATATTTAGTTTAGATTTTCCTTTTCTTTAATTCAGAATAGTTCCTCTACCTCTCTAGCACTTATACTCCTACAATAGCTGTAGATTGCTAAATACCTCTTTAAGCCAAATTCTAACCATTTGGCTATTTTAAACATTTCCTTTTTCATAAAATCTTTCCAAAAGCTTAACAATTTGCATTGATTTGCTCTGAACTTCTTCCAGTTCATCAACACTTTTTCTGGTAATGAGGTACTTCAGGATTGAAGGCAACGTTCCAGCAGCAGCTGCAACAAACGCACGGACAGATCTGTCAAACCAAAGCTCCAGGATGTGGTGTCTCTGCAAACTCAGCCCCAAACAGATTTGGCCAGTTTGACCGTCAAATCATATTGCCAGTTTGTGCCTAATTTATGACCTGCTAGGAAGTGAGGGATATTTCATCTATTCTGCTTTCCCACTTTCTCCCTCCCACTGACCGTTTGGCCGGGATGTGTTTATCTTTCATTGTTCCCAAAACAGAAATCTCTTCATTTTTTCATACAGATCACTGAGGAAGATATCAAATCAAGACTAACTTAGCAAAATACATGCTTTTAGCATTTGTCCGTGCTCCAATCTGTTCTCAGTCCACAAAGATGGGTCAAGTCCAGTAATGGAAAGGACTGAAGGACAGGCAGGAAGACGCTCCGGTCTGCGTGTCCACTGCAAGGCGACTCTCTGGACACAGGCACAGCGACCCCGTGCACTGGCCTACGAGGGGGAAGCAGGGCAGCCCGATGGCTAATTGGCACTAGAAGCCAGTCAAGCTCCGGGAAGCTGTAATTTGGGCTGTGCTGCTGCTTAAGCTTGGGAGGTCGGACTAGATGATCTCTAGAGGTCCCTTCCAACCTCAACCATTCTGTGATTCTGTGAATTAGACCTCAATAAAAAATCTTTATGATTGCACATTTCATGTTTCGCATATACACCATTCTTAAAAGGCTTTCTTCACTCAGCAGTGTTCTTCCTACGTATTTTCTGCAAAGCAGTTAAGAAGACTGAAGAAATAATATCTGCTGTAACCTTATGCACCTACGGTTCACAATATTCTCAGGCATCGGATTGTGCCCTGCTCATTCTCCTTTAGTCATCACGGAAGAAGAAAATGGCTCACAAGAGTGATAAGCCTCTAGAAATCTGGCACCGATTGCAGAGTAAGACACTCCTCACTGTGATACAGTAATCGTGCAGCACTGGATCATAAAATGTTGAAGGGGACCCTCTATTTGTGTAATATAAAAACTCAGTATCAGGAAAATAATGGTCAGAACCATTCGTCATTGCTCCTTAGGGAACAGGTCACAGGCTTCATGACTGTACAAGGTTTTTGCATCTTGCTAGGATTCTTCACAAACGGCCCATTTTTACTTCTGTTGCCTAGTTAAACTGTGAGGATATTGCAGGACCCGTAGGATTGCCAGGGATTACCAGCATGCCCAGCTGAATGGCCAGCACAGCCACTCTGGCCTCCTGCTCGGGTTCCTGCTCGGCCTCCCTCAGCGCCTTGGCCCCTCTGGCATGACCCATGTTCCCAAGGCAGACTTTGGCAACATCCAGTCTCTGAGTCTTCACACACATGCGAGCCATGTTCTCCCAGACGGCTTCACTAGGGAAAACAGGAAAGAAAAAGGGAAGAGTTAAGGTCTCACCTTCAAGACTTGTGTACGGCAGGCAGGTAAGCCCCAAGGAAGGAGGGGAACCACGGGGCAAGCAGGCCGCATGATGCACCCTCACCAGAGAATAGAAACAAACCCCAGACACAAGGGTCAGTCCTGAAGCTGAACATCCACAGCCCTTAGGAAGCACAGGAGCTTTGGTTTCACTCTGATGTCTAAACAAAAGCAGTTATATTTGCACAGAGATAAACATTTATCAAGCGCTCATCAACCGTTTCTTGTTGCAGTTGCATTATTCAACATATAAACATTAATAACAGCCCCACACCAATGGGAATCTGAAAACGTACTTGCAATCTGAAAAATTCTTGCAAATGGTTTAAAACTTACACTGAAATTGTCCTCCTGTGACTGCCTGTCTTCTGCGGTTCAGATCTGGAGCAGCTATGAGGGATTTACCACTTACAGTAAGGAATTGATGTGCAGGAAATAACGTAGCAAACTATTGTGCTTTAATTTAAAACTTGCATAGAAAAATGGCACGAAAATAAAAGCCTCACAATGCTCAAAACGGGAATTCCCCAGGGCTCAGGATGCTTCACACTGTAAATTCACCTGCCAAGACCGAAGCAGTGAAGCCGGGCAGCAGCTCCAGCTCTCCCCCCACTGCGCTGCCCGCAGCAGAGCTCACAAGCAAAGATCCACATGGATCCTATTTACACCTGAAGCTCTTCAGAGTAAAATGCAGCAGACTTGATGACTAAAAACTATGAGCATTTAAAATTGTCCTTTCTTTGCAGTGCCTGTAGCTAACTGGAGGTGCACAGCATGTAATTACACTCCTCAGACACCACCACAACTCAAAACAAGCATCTAAGTGACAAAATCAGAGAAAGAAAACACACATAAAAAACAGTTGAATGACACTTCAGGCCCTGCACAAGCACCTAGCTCCCCTTCCATTCTAGAGGGGGCTGATGGTCACGTTTTCCTATGATTAAAATGTTTTTCTCTTCGCAGTGGCTGTGGGAAAGACCCGCACAAACAGGGGAAAATGACTAACCGGGAAGCAGCGGAGCGGGCGGACGCGACGTGCTGTCAAACACGGGCGACGCGACCGCGCAAACCTCCTCCTGCCCCTCTGCTCCGCACGGAGGGGTCTGCAGCGGCCAGGCGCCGCTACCGCCACTGCGGGGACAGGCTGATGTGTTCAAACACAGACTTCATGAAGGACAAGAGATACGGAAAACACAAAATCAGATCGAAAGCAATAAATCAGGGACACATTTCGGATCATTCAGGTGATTTTTTTTTAAAAGCAAGGTCCATGCTGAGTGCTGTAGTGAATTTCTCATATGGGCAGGTCCAGATTGGTTCTGGTTCAGGCATGGCCTCCTCTTGCTCTGTTTCCATGCACCCAAGTCACTGCCTGCCTGAGAATCACAAGGAGAGGGAAGCAGGACCATTTCTGAAGCCGAGAGGCCTTCCTGAAACTTCTGTCCTCCTGTGGGGGAGACTATGGATCTCCCCTCAATACAGAAGTGCTGATTTACATCAGTAGAAGATGTGACCTTCCTAACTTCTGAAACGTTTGAATTACTCTTTTATTTTATTCAAACCCATATCTGCAACTGGAAATAGCTGGAAAAAACACACTTAAAGAGCATTTTGGTCACGTTAGATGTCACTACCATATCTGGCTTTGATAAAAAGAGTAAATTCTGTCATTAGCAAAAGATGTCAGATTTTATAAAAGATGTGTGTGCGCCCATAGCTGTGCTTCATTAGGGGAGAAATGTATGTAAAAGAAATCTATTTTCTGGAGTCTGCAGCGTGCCAGCAGAAGCTGCCCCTAGCTATTTCACTCTGGCTGAAGGAACGCAGCCTCTGCTGTATTTTGTCAAGCTGACACACAGCAAATTTCTTCAAGGAGATCAAAATCTTAATTCTTAAGAGCCTTGACAGCTTGCAGTTCCCTTGATGCAAAGAGAAGGGAGTTCATGGACTTGAACAGAGACAAGGGGAAGAGAAATCTTGTTTATGCTACAGGGGCTGGGAACTTTTGAAATGAAATGAGCCAAAAAGTATATTTTAAAATAAAAAGCTAAAAGTTAACAGTATGCAGAGACTTGGGAGAGTTTAGAAGTTGCTACTTATCATCTATTGGCACATTTCTGCTCTCATTTTGGGCCGCGGCTCCTGCCAAGTTTCAGACCCACAGGGAGGTGCTGTCACACCAGGTCCCTCTCATCAGCTTGCAGGAACTGGAGCTCCCTCATCCCATCTCTTCCTCCTCCGCTCCAGACCCAACGGAGCTGAAAGGCTTTTGCATCTCTGCTCCCAGAGCCCAGCCATCTTCAGCCCACACTCCTCGCACCACTATCTAACAACTGATAAGAAAAACTTCCAAGTATTTCTGACACAGTAACATACTGTTTGCTTTCAAAGACTGTCTTCGAAGGCACATAAAGACACATATTTATTAAAATATTTATAAGTGTACTTAATATTTACGTATTTAAAAAAATCTGCTATACCTTATTTTAAATTAAGGAAGACACTAGAGTAAGAACACCATACGAAATGCTAAAGAACCGAGGTGCTTTACAAGGATAACCCGTGGGGCAGAACTGAGCTGGTCTCGCTAGCCAAGAGGGATGCAGCCGGCCTGGGCAGACCAGGCGCCCGCGCGGGGCACGGAGCAGAGCTGCGCTCAGGAAACAAACCAAGGAGCAGCAGCCAAAGCTCCCGTGTTTCTCTGTGTGCCAAGAGCCGCAGCCCTGTCCTGCAGGGGCCCTTCAGCTAGCGGGCTGTCCTCTCCCGCAGCCGCACGGAGCGTGGCTGCCCCTCCGGAGCAGCTGCGGGAGCGACTTTTCCACTCCAGCCACGGCCTCGCTGTCCAACATAAAACCCCAACTCATGCTTTACCCTCCCCCCAGCTCCAAGAATTTCCTGTTCTTCCCATCCCCCTGGTTCTCCTCTCCCTCGGGAAAGGCAGCCCACAGCTGCACTTCATCAGCCCCAGCTGAAAACTTAATGAAGAGCAGAGGCCGTAACAGGGCCTGGGGTGCTGTAGGATGTGCCTGTCCTTCAGCTCCAGGAGGTCTGCGCCTCCCCACGGAGCACCTTCATTCTTGCCCCGTCCTTACGGATCATACATGTATCTACTGATACGTATGAGGCCTGACCACAACCACTCCAAGCTGCAGGCCCCATCAAGTGTTACAGATGCCAAAGCAAACGTTGATGTCTCCCAACTCTGGATACAGGTAGAACCACGTAGAAGATGAAACATTTTTTTTCTTCCTGTATTTCGGATCTCTCGGGATTTCTTTTTTTTCAATGAAACCATGCTTGTAACATCTAATAGTCTGGCAAACGTTGATGTCTCCCAACTCTGGACACAGGTAGAACCACGTAGAGGATGAAACATTTTTTTTTCTTCCTATATTTCGGATCTCTCGGGATTTCCTTTTTTTCAATGAAACCATGTTTGTAACATCTAATAGTCTCATTTCACTATGCCTTCTATTACTAGATAATTTTCATTAGCTTCAAGTTTTTAAAAAAATGAATAACTCCAGTAAATGGAGAGCTATTTACAAATGCTAGGTGCTTTTATGGCTGAAGCAGCTGTCTACAAAATCTCTTGTCCTCTATTTAATGAAAAATTCGCATATTCCCATTTCATTTCTTGTTGAGCAGGAGAAAACAGAAATCCTCTTTCCAGCATGGGTTCCACTTTACCAAACAGGGCACTAAGTATTCTGATTTAAAAGCCTAACTCACAGTGCAAAGGCCAGTATTACTATGAGATATAATATTTAGGATGCATTATGATAAGAAACAGTAATGTAATACATAGAATTGGACAGATTTTCCTGCTATCATCTGCGCGAATACACAAAATAGCTTTCCCCATGTCAACAAGAGCCACAGCGGTAACGTCAACAGGAGCAGGGCCACGTCCCCAACGAACAGGTCTTCCTAGGACTGGTTCAAGTGAATATATATTAACTTCACTAAAACTCAAGATGATAACAAATGGCATGAAGAAAGTGAGAAATTCAAAGAAATCTCCGGAGCCTGGGAAGGCAGCGGGTGCTATTCCAAGTACCGAATGGGAACCGCGTCCAGACAAACACTGCGAGGGTGGCACCAGCCCGGCCCTCTCTTCTACCTGTGCCGCTTGCGCCAAGGAAAAGGATGGGACAAGGCAGGGGCTGTTTCCTGAGGAAAAGTGACAACTACTGTGATCTTGCAGATGTTAATTATGTGCGAATAGTCAATTGAAAACAAGATCATTCAGCAGAAATTTGCAATGGGAAAGAAGGCTTGATGTGGTTGCTGAATTACTGCAGGCAACAC